TCCTCCCGAAAATGATGAAAATGTAGTGCGCTAGGCGGCGCAGGGGGGGCGCGCACCAGGGGGCCCAACAATAATTATTCTTTAGAATAAATAATGTTCAACAACAACAACAACAACAACAACAACAACAACAACAACAACAACAACAACAACAACAACAACAACAACAACACGCGCACCAACGCTAGCGCAACCAGCGGCACCAGCATGATCAGCATAACGGTAACCAGCAGCACCGGCGTAAGCGGCAGTACCACTGTGATCGCAACGACGGGAAACAGCAGCACCAAACGACGCAGCATGAACGCCACCAGCAGCACCAGTGTGACCAGCAGAACGTGAAGCAGCAGCACCCCGCGCAGCACTACCAACGCCACCACCATTCCCACTGTGACCAGCAGGATGGGACACAGCAACGCTACGCCCACCAGCGCAAGCGCAACGACCAGTACCAGTACCAGTGTGACGAGCATCGCCAGATGCAGCAGCATTGCGCGAAGCAGCAGTACCAGCGCCACCAGCAGCACCAGTGTGACCAGCACGGAGGGAAGCCGCAGCACAACGAGTAGTACTACCAGTGCCATCGGCAGCACCACTGCGACAAGCCCAACGGGAAACAGTAGCACTGCGAGCACCAGCACAAGCGCAACGTGGAGTACCAGCGTGAGGAGCGCATCGCTGGAAGCAGTAACACTGTGACCAGCACGACGAAAAGCAGCAACACAATGCGCAGCACTGCTAGCGGCACCAGCAGCACCAGTGTGAACAGCACTACGGTAACTATCAGCACAACACGAAGGAACCCAAACGGTAACTACATTGGCATAAAATTGGCAGCGGACAGGGCCGCGATCTGGAAGCTTGCGCAGCCCACAGGCTTGTGAGGCTGCGTCTTCCCCTGCGGCAAGAACGGTGTTCGCAATCAAGATGTGGCGGGTGCCCCGGCAATAGTACAGTCTATAATCAAGGTGGGAAAAGCATTCCCAATGAAATAAGCGGCCGGCGACGAAACGGCAGAGGCGATAACAGAATACGCGATCATGCTTATGGCCGGCGCCAGGAGGGAGCAGCAGTTCGAATCAGGAGTGCGGCCCGCGCTGAGGCGAGCACTATCGCAGTCATGCGCGCGGCAGGCGCCCAGGCGAGATAGCAAGTCTCAGACAGAGCTGTGGCTGGCGCCACAACGAGAACTACATGCTCAGTGAAGGATGTCGCCAGCGCCAAAGCGACGTCATTATTTGTCATCAGAGATGTGGCCGGCGCCAAGGCGAGAACGACACGCTCAATAAGGGATGTGGACTGCTGGCGCCTAGGCGACAACAACATTTTCAATCAGAGACGTGGCTGGCACCAAGGCGAGGGCGACTAGGCGACAGCAACATTGTTAAAAAGACATGTGGCCCACGGTACGAGCAAGAACGACATGCTCAATGAAGGATGTCGCCGGCGCCTAGGCGACAGAAACATTCTCAATCAGCGATGTGGCCCACGCGCAGGCCATGGCATCATTCCGAGACGAGCGTGTCGCCAGAACACAAGTGCCACGCCCTTTCCGCGCGGGCTTGGCTCGGCGTGACCGAGGTCCGGGTGACGTTCGGTGGGTAGTTCAATTTAGCGGGGGATAAATCGGCGGCGACGATAAGGGCGAATAGCCCCGGGTCGGGCATTACACGCATTCGCCTGGGAGCTTTTTGGAAGACATAGATCATCGGCGCACCTGAATACATGTATTGCTCTCCCCTGTGCTATTCGCCCCTATCGCCGCCTCTGAGTGTAGCGTGTCGCTGCGCGCTGCGGCGGCCCTGGCGACACGATGTCTTGCGAGCGGACGGCGTGTCGCTCCGCTCCGCGGGGCGGGAGGCTCGGAAACGCTCGGGGCACGGACGCCTGGGGGTCCGGACATGGACAGCGTGTCGCGCCGAAGCGTGGTGGGCGCAAGCTGGCGGAGCCACACGCTCTCCAAACGTTCCCGAGCGTACAATAACCGTCCCTCGTGAACACTCGACGGCGCGAGGAGGTCTGGGTCCCTGCGTCCGCCCTGCGTCCCCAGAGATCCCCAAGAGAAGGGCTCCCGACGGCTGAAGAAGAGGCCAGAAACGCCCTGGACCCTGGATCCTTCCCGCAGACGCGACGTCGGCGCGAAACAAGCTGCAGCCACAGCGTGTACAGGAAGGGGCGTCTTTGTAGGACGCCAGACCCCTGGAGGCCGAGGTTTCGGATTCCTGGGGCAGCGGGCGACCAGTCAAAGCTGCAAGGGACGGGCCGCGTGAAGGCAAGGGACACGAGGGGCCGCCGAGGTGAAGGCGCGCGTCCGTACTGGGCGCGTGGACTGCACCTCGTGAGCATCACGACCAGAGCCCTGGACGCTTCTAAATCACGGCAGGCTCGCGTCGTGTCGACCCCGGCGTTGGTTTTTGACACCGCAGGGATCGTTCAACCTTGAACGATCGGCCGCTGCCGCAACGTCCGATCGTTCAACATCGATCGATTCTGGGTCGCCGGCGGCGTTCAACCTTGAACGTCCGCGCTGGGGTCGCCGCTGGTCGACACGACGCAAACCTACCGTACATCATCGTGCAGCATCATGACCGTGACCCTCGGTCCATCTTCACGCGCCGTGCTTCGAGTCAGGGCTGAACCTGAACGGTGTTCTTCGTTTTCGTGCCGCTTTCGTCTTCCCTCGTGCTGTCTTCAATCCACCTCTACCGCAACACGAAGCAGAAACGAAACCGGCCCACGACATCGCCAAAACACCGCTCGGGTCCAGCCCTGCTTCGAGCCAGGTCGACCCGCGAGGCCCCCGGGCCCCCAACATGTCGGGATAACGTGCCCGTCGCCAGGCAAACACTGGTCGCCGGGATATGACTTTATGTTGCTCCCAGAGACAATTTCGAGCACGCGGAGAAGTGTCGAAAGAGTGTCGAACGAGTGTCGAAACAGTGTCGGGCGAGTGTCTCCCAGGGCCCGACACGTGAAAACCCTGGAGTTTCGGTATTCTTTCCGGTGCTCGAAGTTCTTTCTGGTGGTCAAGGCTAAGGTAGGTTGGAGCATCATAAGATATGACGCATCCCTCCCTCCAGCCATCCCCCTGAACATCTCCGATCCCCAAGACCTTTCGGCACACAGTGCTGTACACTCGGACCCGGGCAAGAAGAGACTCCTTCAAGAACGTGAGACCCGCCGTGGGCCAAAACACACACACACACAGACACAGAGCATCCGAGGGTACCCTCCCCCAGGATGCACAAGCACACCCAGCGAAAACACAAAGAACACGGGGGCACCCTCCCCGAACCGACCTCGATCTGATACCTCGGCCCGGCTGCACCTCCAGGGGCAGCCTGGGCGAACCCCCGCGCCTTGCCATTTCCCTCCCTCCGCCCCCTCCCGCACAGCGCTCCTCCTTCCCCCCCAAAGCCTCCGACCCTCCAGGCCCGTCCGATCCTCGAGGCCCTCCGCCACTCCAACGCCTCCGGCCCCTCTCGAGCTTTCAGCTCGCCTCCCGCTCCCATGCGCGGTCGGCGTCGGCTGCGGCGGCGACTTCGACGGCGGCGACGGCGACGGCGACGACAACAGCGGCAACCACCGCGGCGACGACAGCGGCAACGACGACGGGGATGGTGACGAAGACGGCGACGCGGACGACGACGGCGAGCTTTCGGCACCGCCCAACCAGCCTGGGCTCGCTCGCGCTCCCCGAGTCGAGGGCCTGGCTCACCAGCTCCGATGCTGTGGGGTCCGGCGGTGCGGGCGCCTGGGCAGACGCGAGGCCGCCGCCGAGGCCGTCTCTCGCCGTCGTCGTCCACTTGGTCGTCTTCGATGTCGACGTCGCCGTGGTCGTGCGAGTGGCCGTCGCCGCCGTGGCGGTCGCCGCCGTCGGGGCTCAAGAATCGAAGGACAAAAATCGAGGTTCGACAATGACTTGAGGCGGTCACCGCCATCGCCGTCATCGCTCGAAGATGGAATGTCGAGGATCGAGACTTGGTGTTCCAGGTTTTTTGTTGTTGTTTTCGGGCATCACGTGGGCCTCCTAGGGGGCCCTCGTTGCCACTGAAAGACAATCGGATGCACATATGGGGGCCTCCGCGTCGAACGATGTCCTCGCAACCATGGTCCCAGGGCCTAGAAACTGCCCCCAGAGGCAGGAATTGACCAAATAATGCCAGGATTAGAAAACAAGAAAATATCTGAGAGAACGCGGTTCCCGGGCGCTTGCGTTGGGAACGTTCGGCGGCGCGTTTCGAACCGAAGGGCGGCCCCTCCCCTCAACACTCGGCGCCGTCGACCAAAACAAGGGGGACTCCGCTCCCCCACAACCCCCCCCTCCCGAACCCCCCCCCCCCTCCCAAGGCGGGGGGGGGGTTCAAACCCCCCCCTCCGGCGCCGGCGCTGGCGCCGGCGCTGGCGGCCGCCAGCAGCGCCGACGGCGGGGACGCAGCGACGATGACCAGAGGCAGCCCAAAGGAGGGGGCGGGAGGTTCAAATCCCCCCCCTCCCCCCTTAGCGCCAGGGGTGGGGGTTCAAATCCCCCCGCCTCACAAGGAAGGGGTGGGGTTCAGACCTTCCCCCCCCCCTCTCGGCGCTGGCGCCGGCGCTGGCGGCCGCCAGCAGCGCCGACGGCGGGGACGCAGCGACGATGACCACCCCGAGGCAACCTCAAAGGAGGGCTCCAGATTACAAATCCCCCCCCTCCCCCCTTAGCGCCAGGGTTGGGGGTTAATTCCCCCCCCACAAGGCAAGAGGTGGGATTTCAGACCTACCCCCCCCCCCCCTCTCGGACCGCTGGCGCCAGCGCTGGCGCCGGCGCTGGCGGCGGCCAGCAGCGCCGACGGCGGGGACGCAGCGACGATGACCAGAGGCAGCCCGAGGGAGGGGGAGGGGTTCGACTCCCCCCCCCCCCCTTAGCGCCGGGGAGGGGGGGGGTTCAACCCCCCCCCCGTGGCGCCGGCGCCGGCGCTGGCGGCGGCCAGCAGCGCCGGCGCTGGCGCCGGCGATGGCGGGGACGCAGCGACCATTACCACAACTACCACCACCGCCACCGCCACCACCACTACCGCTGCTACCCACCACCACCACCACGACCACCACAGCCACAGCCACCACCACAACCACCACGACCACCACCACCACCACAACTCACAATCACCACTACCACCACAAAAACCCACCACCACCACCACAAAAACCAACCGCCACGACCACCACCACCACAATCTACCACACCACCACCACCGCCACGACCACGCAGCACAACCCACCGCCACCACCACAAACCACCGCACCACCACCACCACCACCACCCACCGCCACCACCACCAGCACCACCTCCACAAACCACCGCCACCACCACAACCCACCACCACCACCACCACCACCACAAACCACCACACACACCACCACAACCACCACAACCACCACCACACCACACAGTCACCATCACCACCACGACCACCACAAAAACACACCACCACCCACCACTACCGCCACCACCAACACCACAATCTACCACACCACCACCGCCACAACCACCACCACTACCAGCACCACCACCGCCACAACCACCACCACTACCAGCAGAACGACCCACCACCAACACCCAACCACCACCAAACCGCAACACCACCACCACCACCGCCGCCACCACCACCATCACAGCACTTCCACAAACCACCCGCCACCCACCACAACCCACCACCACCACCACAAACCACCACCACACCACCACCAAACCACCACCACCACCACCACAACCACCACAACCACCACCACCACCACAAGTCACCATCACCACCACGACCACCACAAAAACACACCACCACCACCACTACCGCCACCACCACCACCACAATCTACCACACCACCACCGCCACAACCACCACCACTACCAGCAGAACGACCCACCACCACCACCACCACCACAAACCGCAACACCACCACCACCACCGCCGCCACCACCACCATCGGCAGCACTTCCACAAACCACCGCCACCACCACAACCCACCACCACCACCACCACAAACCACCACCACACCACCACCAAACCACCACCACCACCACCGCAACCCACCACCACCACCACCACCACCACCACAAACCACCACCACACAACCACCAAACCACCACCCCACCACCCACCACAACAACCACCAACCACCACACCACCACCACCACAACCACCACCACCGCCACCACCACCACCACAACCCACCACCACCACCACCACCGTCGTCCTGGTCGACGCTCCCCGCCGACGCGGCACCAGCGCCAGCCCAGAAAAGGAAATCGTTCGTCGTCCCCGCCGCCGCCGCCAGCCGCCGCCGACGCAAGCGCCGGCCCGAGGAGAGGGGAAGCAGGGGAGGGAAGGGGGGGGAGGGGTTCGACCCCCCCCCCCCTCCGTCACGGGAGAGGGGGGGGGGGGGGCGGCGGGGGGGGGTCCCAACCCCCTTCCCTCCCTCCATCCAGGGGGTGGGGGGGTAAGGTTCCAACCCCCCCCCCCCTTCCAGGCGACCACAGAACGCGCTCTTTCAAATATCTGGATCAAGACCCCTTCCCTTCATTAAACCAGGACCAAAATCAGGACGAACCGCTCGCAGAGCGTTCCAAACGTTCTGGAACGGCCGCCGCGCCCGACACATCCTCCAGAACAACCTCTGGACCTCAGAGAGGAAGAGGAAGGACATCGACTGAACCGAAGACCACGACGGCAGCGACGGTGTCTGCGACGAAGACGCGGGCGCGGCGCGACCAAGACGACAACGACGACGACGACGACGAGGACGGCGACAGCGACGGCGACGGCGACGGCGGTGGCGGCGGCGAAATTCGAAGATCTATCGCGACCCGATGTTTCTTCAATCCTTGGCTTCCTACTTCTGGCGGCCCTCGGCGCCTCGTCGTCGCATAGCTCCGCCGGTACCCCGTCCTCCGGGTCTGGGAGCGGGAGGTCCAGCTTGGGGATATTCGGGCCCTTGGCCGCGCCTGCGCACTCCTGCGTCAGCGCAGAGAGGGGAAGGAAGAGGAAGAGGAGGAGGAGGAGGGCGAGAAAGAGGACGATAAGGACTGGGGAGGGGGAGGATAAGAGTAATTATCAGGTTGAGGAGGGCGGATGAGGAGGAGAAATTGGAGCTGGCGTTGAAGTCTCAGGACAAAGTCCTACCAACAACTACCCACACCGCTTCTGGGCTTGACGCGCTGATTCCTTTTTGCTGTGTAGGCCTTGGGTCAAACCCTCGGAGGCATGTCTCCTTACATGCTTCTGACGGGTCGGGGCGGCTTCGTCACTGCACGGCCCCCCGAGGAGAGGCAGCCTTTGGGAACAGTAATCCCGCAGGAGTCACAGCACCAACCGTTCAAGTCTTGATGGAACCTCATGCAGGGGGCGGGGTGCACAACGAAGGCCCAGGAGGGAGCGCACGAGTGCAGCAGTCGAGCGACACATGACAAGCGCACGGTGGCCTGCGTCAAGGCCTGACACGGGCTGCTGGCGCAGACCCGCGGCATCGCCAACACTGGCGCCAAACATCGTAAAGGGCACCCTCATGATCGAGCCACTTGAGGTAATGGTAATGATAGGACCTGGGATTTAGAACAACGGCCCCGGATTTAGAAAATCCGGCTTCTTGAATTTAGTAAACCGGCTTTGGCGTTTACTGAATGCTGCTTTGTCTTGTTTTGACTCGGCGGCACAATTTCATAAATCCGTTACAGGTGACGGCGTCAGGGTTTGGGGGGGGAGGCGCGGGAGGAGGACACACATCTAAGCCCTCCTTTGTACGCAGGGTTCGCGCCACCTCCGCTCGCTCTCGCGCCGCCCTTCCCCCTCTTCTCCCTCGACGGGCCCACGTCCCCCAGGATCCGTTCCGCTTCCCAAGCGTCCAGGGCAAACCAGAAGATCATCCTGAGCCGAATCAGTAGAGACCTCCTAGATGGGGTCGGAGTAGATTGGGTCGGAGGATCGCGCCGCCGATGCATCGTCGATGCATCGCCGACGTCGCCGATGCGTCGCCGACGTCGGCGCGGAGAAAAGCGGGCTCCGCATCGACGATGCATCGCTAATGCATCGGCGATGCGGCGCGATCCTCCGACCCCGTCTACTCCGACCCCATCTATAGGAGGCGTGGAATCAGATACTCCAACATTTCAACGCCGATGCGTCGCCGACGTCGGCGCGGAGAAAAGCGGCGCGATCCTCCGACCCCATCTATTCCGACCCCATCTATAGGAGGCCTGGAATCAGATACTCCGGCATCTCAACGTTGATCACCCTGCTTCTAACCTCTCCGGACGGGCGGCAACGCTCAGCACCTGCCTCCGCCGAGCTGCCAGCAGCAGCAGGCACCCCGGCGAGCCAACTCTGCCCCATCCCTGCAGCAGTGCCGCTGCCGCCGAGGCACGAGTTGATGATCAAGACGGTCAAGTGCTCTGTCTTGCGCTCACACTGACTGAAATCCGCCGATCCGGCGTGTGAGCTACAAGGAGCCCCAGCAAGAGCTTCAGCCCTGAGCCTAAGCAAGAGCTTCAGCTCTGCTTTGGGGGGGTCGCCGGGGTGGCTTCGTCCCAGGGAGCTGACTCGATAAACCTAAGTGGAGCCCCAGAATCCTTCTGCGAATGGTTTGGCCGAAGTCCGTTATCGGACACATCGAGACCGATGTCTACCCTCCGAAACCTCCAATCCCTGGCAAACGCCCCTCGACTGGCATCCCCTGCGGTGACGACTGGCTGCTGGTCGCACCGTGTGCGAACGCACCGTCGTGCAGCCCGTCGTTGGAATATGTGCGGGACCGCTCCTCATCATCTGGTGGTTCGGGCACCACGGTCCAAAACCGAGGCATGAGGCCCCTTCGCCGGAACCCAGGCTCGGCCTCGGCTTCCGCCATGGCCATCGGGAACCACTCGTCCGAGTGGCTGCAGATCGGATGGCCGCGGTGACGCTCGCACCCCCATGTGCGATGATATGCCGTCTTTGTGTTTGTTGCACCTGGGGCATATGTCGCCGACCTCCGCCCCGGTGGCGAAGCCAGCTCTTCTTTGACCTGGCCAAGCGCCACCTGCGGCACCAGAAACAAGCAGTTCTGACCGCCCCCTCCCGCGCGGAAGTTGCTCAAGATGCCTGAGAAGCTGCAGCGGCGAGGTCACGTCGATACCCTGGCGTAGACCACCGCGGCAGCAGCACATCTCAGCCTCCCCCAAAAACTCCTCGGACCTTCGACGAAGACCTGGAAGAAAAGCCTGGTTGAATGGAGGGCCGGCATGTACGAGTGGCCAGCTTCTGGGAACTGCAATTCCGAGCCGTCCTTCGTGACGCAATTCGCTTGCGACGTGTTGCCCCAACTTCTCTCCGGCAAGTGAATGATGACTGTAGCTGGCGTGGGACCCGTGGCCCACCGTGACTATTGATTGCGTGGTGGGGTCGTGGATGTCCGGCAATTGCCCCCAAGCTCCGCGGGTCCTCGGACGCACTGCGGGTCCCCCGAACCACTGGTGGAGCAGCGGGCGCACGCTGTCACGTGGCCGTTTTACCGGGTCCAGCGCAAAAGTCTTGATGGCCATTATGGCAGGTCTCGAGGCGCTCCCCGAACCGCGAGTTCCACTTGTCGTCGCGCGCTGTATTGGGTAGTCACACCGAGGCGCCGCGTAGTCAGAACGCGGGCGGTTGGTGCTCTTTGGGCCCAAAGTCTTACACGTCGCCACGTATGTCAGGTAGTCACAGCGCGGACTTAGGGTGTTCCTCGAGCCCCGAGCCCAGCGCGTCGCCATGCAAAGGACCCGACCACCCTGCAAAGTGACCGTCGCACGCCACGCCACCGAGGTTCACGAAGTACGAAGGCATCGACCAGCACGAACGTCTAACTCACCCTTTCTCAACCAGATGCTCAAGTTGCTCGCGATGAGCCCTAGTACCCATTCACGCCCGAGAAAGAGCGAGCGGTGGCGCACAGCTTAAGGGGCGAGACGGGACTGGCATCGGAAAGGCTGACGCCATTGGACATTGGACGGTCACCGTGCGCAGGACTCTGAGATGGCGGCCTTATTGTACGACGTCGAAACCACTCGCACTTGGCCCCATCAGACGCAACTCGCCATTAGAAAATGATTGTCAAAGAAACCGGACGCAGATCGCATCCTCGGTCTGATGTACACGATGGGCAGACACTGGTCAGTGATTCGCGAATGACGCGTTCGCGGTTGGGCAAATCCTGCGGAAACTGAATTAGGCGCAGCAGTGCGTGGCGACAGCTCCCGAGTAGAAGCCATCCACTGCGCGCTGTACGACGAGGTCGTGGGCCGGCTCCAACTTCCCACATGTCACGGCACGCTGGACATTTTTTTTTCGTTGGCGGCGTCGAGTGGGCTTTGATTTTGCCCACAAGTTTGCGCCCTGAATACCCGCCAGCTGTTTTGCATGTGGGGCTAGCACATTGTGTTGCGTTTCCGTCTCGGGCATATCTGGATCAGTATGGAATCGTTTCGCGAGGGGTCGTAGCATCACTCAAGGTCTGCGACGGGAGGGGGGCAGGCTTGCCAAGCGCATGGTTCATTACGCGATGACCTCAAGATCAAGATCTAGAAGCCACCCCGCCCTCGACCACAGGACGCCCGAACCGAATCTGCTAGGTGGAGTTTGGACGCATTTTGAACAATCGGTCACCATCTGTTTCTTCCACGGTGGCGCTCAAGAGATTGCCAGACGCTCTCGAGCTAAAGGTTTCGTCGTGCGCCCATCACTGCAATGAGTTCACCTCGGCATCGAGCAGGGGGGGGGGGGGCGATAGGCGCGAGGGGCATGGCGCTCCGCTCTGACTATCCCCAGCATGTGGCGACGCGCAGGATTCAAGGCTCGAGGTGCAAAAACGGAAAGAAGAAGGCAAACAACAAAGAAGAGCGGGGCGGACAAACGGAACGGGACACAACAGCGCAGCAGGCAAGACGGAGAGCAGCAGGGAAAGGGGCAGGAGAGTGAGCGAGAGAGGAGAGCACAGAGGGACGGAATGCGGAGGAAGGAAGAAATCCGCGGCAAGCAGCGCGCAGCAACAGGGGACGGGAGGCAAGGAACTGCCGGGTACTGTAACACGCTTTTGGAAAAAATGAATTCGGAAAGGCGGTTCGCTTGCCCCGCAGGAGACCTCGGCTGTGTGAACCAGGGCGGCAAGGGTCACCAGAACTTGCGGGTCACGTGCAAGCGCGCAGGAGGAGGAGGAGGAGGAGGAGGAGGAGGAGGAGGAGGAGGAGGAGGAGGAGGAGAGGGAGGGATGAGAAAGAGGAGGAACACTCCGATTGAGCACTCGGGGCCGACCGTTGCGGCCATGCTCAAAAGGGAAAACGGGGTAACTGGCACAGTTGCCTCATTGATCGCCCGCGGGCCTCCCGAACGTACCTGTCGAAAACTCCAACGACGTCTTGCAACGAATCTACCGTGGCGGCGGCCGTGATGAACCCGGTACAACGCATACGCGGGCACGGCCCAAACGACCACGGTGCGCTCGCTGGGCATGTGCCCATCCAACCCCACGAAAGCGTCGAGCTTCAAGTCTGGGCGTGGTGGAGGTATGTCAACAAATCGAGCTTGTAACGTGCGGACAGTAAGGCGATAAGCGGCATGCCGGATGCTGTCTGCCACGCTGTTGCAGAACCTGCAATGGCCTGCCATACCGCGAGTGCGTGCACCAGCCGTTGCGTAGAAGACGAACGACTGCGGCCTATCCCCACGGCTGGCAACGACGCCCAACCAGCTGCAGGTTAGGGGAGCGTCGGTGCCAGCCTGTGACTGGGGAGTCATGTCAATGGCCAACGTCTGAGCTCCTTCTCTAAGTGCAACCAAGCGTCCGCGAGCACCAGGCCGTGCACCAGCCCCGTGGCATCTAGGGCTCCCAACTTCGCGCTTCGCGCTGCGCGAAGCGCGAAGCGCGAATAACTTCGCGCTCTCGCGCCGCCCCCCCAAAGGGAGAATAGGAGGACGAGGAGGAGGGGGAGGAGAAACGAGGACCGCGAAGCGCGAAGCGCGAATAACTTCGCGCCCTCGGGGGAGCCCCGTGGCATACTTCTGCCAACCCTCCTCGCGGTGCCACTCGTCTGCGGCTGGTTTGGCGCGCCGATGGACATTGACGCGCTCCGCGGCCGTATACAGGGTGAGGAAAAAGCACCTGTCCCGCATCGCGTGCAGCCAACACTGCCTTTGAGCCGATGCCACTGTGCTCCAGCAAGGGAGATTCTGAATAGAGTGGTGCGGGATCCGTGCTGGCAGGCAGCTGCTGATGGGGATAGTGCTGCTGATGATGCCGACGAGTCTGATGATGATGGTGATGACAAGGATGATGATGCTGATGCTGATGATGATAATGACGAGGGGAGAGGAGAAGGAGGAGGAGGAGGAGGAGGAGGAGGAGGAGGACGAGAAGGAGGAGAAAGAGGAGGAGAGGGAAGGCAACGAGGAAGGAAGGAAGGAAGGCGGGAAGGAAGGAGGACGCGGGGCGCTGCCTGGGCAACGACCTGCGCCCAAGCCTTCGGCGTTGCCCCCGAGCACATATGGGCACCCCTGGGCACCCCTGGCACCGCCTCCAGCGCCGCCCCTGGCGTGCTCCGCACGTCTGAGGAGGAGGAGGAGGAGGAGGAGGAGGAGGAGGAGAAGGAGGAGGAGGATGGAGGAGGAGGATCGCGGAGGAGAGCTCCGGAAGCTCACAGCCGTCGCACTATGCCAGGAGGAGGAGAGCGCAGAAGGTGGGGGCCCATGGGGGGGTCTCCCGGCCACGGCGAGCCGGTGGCCACGGGCGGGCTCGGCGACCAGGACTCTCGAGGGTCGGCCCGAAGACCATGAGGACAGCACAACCCACCCCCACCCCCACCCAGGGCACCCACCTCCGACCTGGTGGTCCAGGGTGCCCTGGGTGGGGGGGGGGTTTTTGGGCGGCTCTGGGGGGGTGGGGTGGGGTGGGGGTGGGGTTTTTTGGGCCCCGGGCGAATTAACAACCCACCCCCACCCCCACCCAGGGCACCCACCTCCGACCTTGTGGTCCAGGGTGCCCTGGGTGGGGGTGGGGGTGGGTTGTAAGAGCCGCGGGGCCCAAAAACACACCCCCACCCCCCCCCAGGGCACCCTGGATCACCCGGTCGGAGGTGGGTGCCCTGGGTGGGGGTGGGGGTGGGTTGTGCTGTCCTCAGACCAAGCCCCCTCCAGAGCCCGAGGTGGTCCTCTTTTTGTTCGGCGTCTCCGCCGACAGTCGGAAGAAGTGGGTTTTAGGTCGGGCATGCCCACCCCTACAGGGGGATCTTGGAATGGAAAAATAAGATTTCTCCAAAAATGCACCCCAAAATGTTCCGTCCATGGTAGAAAAATCCTCCCCTGACTATTTTTGGAAATATGTTTGAATATTCCTCCTGTAGAGGGACAGGCCCGACTTACAAGTAGGTGGAAGCATGCTGACGGAAGGCGGATCCAGCAGATTTCCATATTCCCCATGTTTTCCCCTATGTATTCTGGGGTTTTGATTTTCTCCCACTTCTCACGTTTCCCCTTATTTTTTCTGGGAGAATCGACGATTCATTGTGGCTGTGCAATTTTGCCCCTCCTGAGTGCTGTGGGACGGCGGATCCGGTAAGTAGACTGGGCCTGGGCCCGCCCAGAGAGAACGACAGAAGAAGCAGGAGAGGCCCCGCCGCCTTCCGAGGAGGCCCGCTCCTTCTCGTTCCCCCCCGCCCTCCGCCTCCTCCTCCGCCTCCTCCTCCTCCTCCTCCTCCTCGTCCTCCTCCTCCTCCTCCTCCTCCTCCTCCTCCTCCTCCTCCTCTTCCTCCTCCTCCTCCTCCTCCTCCTCCGCCTCCTCCTCCTCCTCCTCCTCCTCCTCGTCCTCCTCCTCCCCCCCTCGCTCGCCGCCGATGGGACGCACAGAGAGATACCGATACTGCAACAGGAGATATGTCGACACCTATCCGAGGCTTAAGGAAGTTTTCGACTGGACCAACAATCTGGGGCCCGAGCCTGGGATACAGGAGGGAGGGCGTCCATCCTTGATAGGGGTTCGTCCGAATAGACCCCTTGCGGTGTATTCCAGGGTGTCCCCCCTTTTCTGAACGGCCAAACTTTTCGGGCGTAACTCGGGGATTGGGGGAGAAACATCGCCTGCGATACTAGATGTCCTCCCTGGAGGCGCGCGTCCGACCCGAACATAGAGTAGACCCAACTTGCAGTATGTCGTTTCCCGAGCGGTGCGGCCAGAAAGCGCCCGCCACGGCGCACATGTTCAAGATTTTTCGGTGCGCGCATCGCCCCTGGGGGGGCGACGCACATATAGTATAAGTAGGCTCGCTGCCGTTGTAGGCTCACGCTGGATTTTGGAGGCCTGGGAATGGGCACCGACACCAACACAGGGGGCTGCCTCCACAGGGGGAAGGTGATCCCAGATTCCGGTGTTGGTGGTAATATCTCGGTCACCTTGAAGGCCAGAACGTTACCACCATCACCGAGATCGGGATCTTCTTCCCTCGCTGGAGGCACACCGCCGATACTGGTGTTGGTGTCAACCCCGAGGCCTGCGAGGATTGCTGCTCTTCGACCCTTGCCCGTCTGCTCCTGCCCGTCCCTTGCCAGGTTGCCCTCGATCCACTTCGCGATCGTGCCGCTGCCGTGGCCGAAGCCGGCGGGCCAGTCCCGGCGCTCCCGGGTGAGCGCTCGGGGTGGCTCGCCCCAGTGCGCGGGGAAGGGCCTCTCGGGCGGGTGGTCACGAGGGGTGACCAAGAACGGGGGGCGAAGAAGGGGGCCGTAGAAGGAGCCCTTCAGGGCCTCTGCTTGCTTCCACTGAGACTAGGAGGCAAGTGCTGGGACGTCTTCGCCGAAAGGAACAAGGAGGATTCAGCCCCATTGGGGGGCTGCTACGCTGGATGAGCCCGCGGATTCAGCAAACTGGGGCCGTATCCGGCGGGATTGTGGCAATGTCATGACGCCAGATGATGCTGGATTGCGGACCAGGACAAAATCCAACCTCCCAGGAGTTGCATCCGAACGAAAGGGG